CAGAGACCCTGTGGGTGCACGTTACTGCGCTGTCCTTTACCCAGTGGGCCAAGGCTTTGTTTGGTTAATGTAGCTTCCAGTTACTGTAAATGACAGAATGGAACTGAAGATTTCAGTTGGCGCAATTCTTGGGTCTGTGGAAGAGCTGGACTTTCCTTAATAGAGTGCTGGGGTGAGAACTGCTACCAGCATGACTTGTACAAAGCAGTTGTTTCAAAAGAGAGGGCCTTCTTGTCCTTTGCCTCGGACACTGCATGGGTTGGTCACAGTACAAGGCGCAAAACGCATTCCCATAGGTGGTGTTTTATTGAAAGATATAGCTTCTTTTGTTTGTGAATGCCAATACATTGAGCCTTAAAAAATGGTTAGGTGGGGAATTTGTCCTCTTGAGCTCAGTTTATGCAAAGATATTAAATTGATAATTCAAAAACTTAAGGTTTTTTGTGAATGATATTTTTGAGGCCTTAATTCCTATGGAGTAAAATGTTCTTCAGTATATAATTCAGTATATCATAAGAATTGGATACCCATGCTGAGTAGCCCCTGCTTTGTAAAGACACAGCCTGTCCAGGACTGTAGGAAGCTCACTTCCCTCTCCCAGGTGACAACTAACTGTCCTTTATCCTATAGCCAACCCGGTTGGCATCATAATTGAACAATTACCTTGCCTGCTCTAGTGCATTCTATAACTGGTATCATACCTACAAACTCCATTCAGTCTGCTTCCTTTCCCTCGTGCTTGTGAGATTCGTTCTTACTTCGAGCATTAGTATAATTTGTTCCTCCTTTCTGTACAAATCCATTAGATGAATATATCACAGATTTGTTTATTCCTTTACCTGTTAATGAACATTTAGGTTATTTCTAGTTTGGGGCTATTAGGAACAGGGGTTTTATTTTTTAATGAACATTCACTTAAATATTTTTGTGGGCGTATGTTTCAGTGTCTCTTTGGTAAACACCTTGGCGTGGAATTGCAGGCTCATAAAGCAATGTGTGTTGAACTTCACAAGAGGCTGCAAATATTTTCCCCAAAATGTTTGTAGCATTTTATATTTTCACAAGCAATATATACAAGTTCAGATGGCTCCATATCATACACAATATTAAATATTATCAGAAGTTTTGGATTTAGCTTTTGTATAGGTATAAAACAACATCTGTTGGGCTTTTATTTTGCATTTGGCAGCTGGCTAACGACTTTGAACACATTTTAGTCTGCATTAGAACATCCTCTGTAACATGAATCCATATTATTACTGACATTTGAAGATGATTTATAGGGGTTTAATACATATTCTGAGTACAAATCATTTGTCACACTATCAAACAATGAATACTTTGTCCTTAACAGTACCTTTTTGTATTTGTTCTAGTAACAGTGGTTTGATAACCAGAGGTATGGAATTTTCATAAAGTTCAAATTATGAATGTTTAAATTACAAGTGCTTCGTGTATTCTAAAGAATCAGTGTGTACTTGCTGGCCCCCAAATGCTCTTCATTTATTTCTCCAAGAAAAGAAATATTATAAGTTTGTTTTGGCATTTAAGTCTGTCATTCACCTTGCATTAATGTGTGTGTGTTGGAAGGAGAGGAGGATGTCTTCACTTATTACTTTATCTTGTATGTAGTCCAGGGTACACAGGGTCTCACTATGCAGATGGGACGCGTCGTGATCCTCCTGTTTTCAGCCTCCCAAGGGCTCCGCCACGCCCAGTCGCCATCGCTGTCTCAGTGCGCCCTGAGGGCGGGGCTGGCAGGGCAGGTGCAGCCAGGGACTGAACCCCCACGCCGGGCTTGGTTTTTATACATATACTATTTGTTCCAGGGCAATTTATTGAAAATTCCTTTTTCATTAAGGCACCTTTCCTGGAAGTCAGTCGTCTGTGTATGTATGGTGCCTTTACTTCTGGGCTTTTGTCTTCTTTATGGTCCTTTTTGGCTATCGTGATGCTCACAGCGCTCTGTTTTGCTTAGAGAAAGGCGTAAGTTGAGGAATGTGCGTCCCTGGATGTTTTCCTTCTGTTTACTGTTGTTTCAGGTATTTAGGTTGCTTTGATATCTGTGTGAAATTTCAAGTTAGCTTGGCAGTTTCTGTAAAATGATTGTTGGTATTTCCTCAAGATCTCATTGCTGGGCTGGAGAGATGGCTCAGTGGTCTAAAGCACCTACTTAGAACAAGCCAAGCGAAGCACAGGGACTGTGGTTCAATCCCCCAGCACCACATGCCAGCCAGCCCCGCCCCCTGGTGGACTGAGCTGGCCACACACACACACACACACACACACGCACAAATAAATAAAATTTTTTAAAAAAAGATCTCATTGCCATAATGGATCACTTTAGGAAGAATGAACATCTTAATAGGGACTTTGCTATTCTTGAGCAAGGTATCTAGGTTGATTTATGTAAGTTTTCTGTAATTTCTCTCAAAAAATTTAAAGTTTTCAGGGCTTAATAGCTTGTAGAGAGTCCATATTTTTAAAAAAACTGGTATTTGATAAGCATAACTGTTCGATATTGTTTATGGTGTTGCCATTGCTGTTATTTTAAATTCCTAATTTTTTAATATTCTTTTTTGTCTTTTTTATATTTTATTTTGAAAAGTAAAAACAGAAGCAAAAACAAATAGAAAAAAGACAAACAGGGTAACATACAACAATGCATCTGTTACAGATTTTCAAAACAGGATTAGCTAATTAACAGTGGTTGTTATATTATCTTTATTGTCAAATCTGTTGCTCAGATTAACAGATTCAGTCACATAAGATTGGGGAAATAATTGAATATTGGCATTTGCTTTCAACAAATCTAATTTTTTTCCTTGTCTTTTTTGATTTAATTGATTTTAAAGAGAGAATAAAAACTGAGAAGACATTAGGCACGGTACACATTTAGAAGACCCAGAGAAGAGGCATTCAACCGCAGGTTTTGTATTAGACGTTGTTCTTCTTGATGGAGTTAGTTGCTCAGATCATAGCTATCAGCCTACGGAGTTAGTCAAGGTGCAAATTCTAAACCTTAACTGCTACTTTCAAAAAACTGATGGAAATTATGAGTACAATCATCTCAGCCATTCTGTATATATACTTACATGTTTTTCCCTCCTTCCTTTTTTTCTTTTGTCCTTTCTCTCATCATTATTTAATCCTTAGCTTCAGTTTCTTTTTGTTTTACTGTATCTGTTGTACCTTTCAGGTTTTATTTATTTTTTCAGATTTTTATACCAAGGAAACAATATGATATTTACACGTGGGTCTGATTTACTTCACTCAGAAGTATTGACTCTAGACATTTTGGTTGTTTCCAAGATTTGGCTATCACAAATTGTGCTGCTATAAACATGTGTTCTTTTTAAAAAAATTTTTTTTTAATATTTATTTATTTATTTAGTGTGTGTATGGCCAGCTCAGCCCACCAGGGGGCGGGGCTGGCTGGCATGTGGTGCTGGGGGATTGAACCACGGTCCCTGTTCTTTGCTTAGCTTGTTCTAAGTAGGTGCTTTAGACCACTGAGCCATCTCACCAGCCCTGTGCTGCTATAAACATAGGTTCACATATATCACTATGCGTGATGCTTTTGGTTCTTCTGGTTTCAGACTGGCCTTGAACCCCCTATGTAGGTCAGGCCAGCCTGGAACTTGTGGTGATCCTCCTGCCTCAGCCTCCTGAGTGCTGTATTACAGAGGTGTGCCACCACCTTCCACTTGTGTTCTATCCTGTGACTTGTATTTGTGTTCTATCCTGTGACTTTCATGAATTTTTATTAGAGTAAACTCCATGGTTTCCTTAGAGTTATCTATTTAGATAATCATATTTTCTGCAATTAAAGACATCTTCCTTGACCACAAGTATAATGATTTCTAATTATAATTACATCTCTATTACTACTTTTGAGATTATGCCCTGGTTCTCCGGTATTTAGTGATTTTTCTCCCTTGTTTCTTTGCTTTGGAATGTTTCCACTGACATCTGCTCAGGATCCCTGCTGAGATGTCTCAAGAAGTGCTCATTTCTGTTATAGTTCCTCTTTTAGGTATTCAGTATTACTGCTCTTGAGAATGATGATCTGTCCGTGCATCTTACGCATCTGTCTTATATGTTACCTGCTTTTCCTGTGCATTCCCTTATCATGTTCCTCACGGCTCTTCAAAGGTCCTGATCTGATTTTCCTACCACACCTTCCTCTGACTATCTTGCAAGGTTGCTCTGAAGGTGTACAAATTCTGGAGAGAACTTGTATTCAAATTCTGGTTCTGCTTGTACCTCCGTTTCCTTATCTGTAAGCAGGGAATGCTGATAAAAATTCACTTCATGAAACTGCTAGGAGAATCAAATAAGTTCACATGTGAAAAGCTTCAGTAATTCTTGGTACAAGCTGAACATTCCATGTATGTTGCGTGACAGCAACGTAACCATCTGTAAAGGTGCCCGCACGTTCCCATCGGGTTTTCCCGGCTGTCCTCTCTGCGAGGGCTGCCTCCTCTAGCTCTCTGGCTTCCTATCCTCATTCCATCTCTCTGAAAGTGTCTCACAGCAGCAAGATTTGCCCTGAATGCTGTGTAGAGACTCCTGCTCTTACTCTGCTTTCTGTTTCATGGTAAGGATTATGCTCGGACACATTCCGTGTACACTTGTTTTTGTTATTGTTGGTTTTCAAAGTCCCTCAACTTAAATGGAAGTTGTGTCTTGGGAGGGTCTGTCTTCAGAGTTTAAAAAACAAAATTTTTTTAGGGGGGGCAGTTTTCTTCATGTTCATGTAAGAAAGTACTGTATAGCCCTTTTAAATTCTGGGTTTTCCGGAATGTTTAATGGCACTGACAAATATTTATGTAGTATTATTACACTGTGTAAAAGCAGCTACAGGTAGTATATAAAACAGACAAAGGGGATAGGAGCTGACCAGGTCCACAAGTGAGGGCTAGCACATGGCCACGCCCAGGCGGTGTGCACAGCCCCATCTGAGGCTGCTTGTAATATTTTCTGTCTTTCTCTTTCAGTATGAATACTTCAATGCTGTGCTGATCAATGAAAGAGACAAAGATGGGAACTTTTTGGAGCTGGGGAAGGAATTCATCTTAGCTCCCAACGATCATTTCAATAACTTGCCTGTGAACATCAGCCTGAGTGACGTGCAGGTGCCGACCAACATGTACAACAAAGGTAAGGCTCCCTGCTGCCGAGGAGCAGCGGCAGAAGGGGCAGGGCCATGCGGGCCCAGGCTGGCTGGTTTGCATGAGGTACTGCTCAGTTTTTATTTATTTGTTCCTTTATTTATTTATTTATTTATTTATTTAGCTTTTTGAGACAGGGTCTCATTATTTGCTGGTCTTAAACTCATTGTGTAGCCCAGGCTGGCCTTGAACTCATGGTGATCCTCCTGCCTCAGCATCCTGAGTGCTGGGATAATAGGCATGCGCTGTCATGTCCAACTATTTAGTTTTTTCAACACATTTATGAGCTGAGTACATTAGACTTGAGTTGGGTGGATGAAGCCCAGGTCTGTTGTGCGTGGAGACCGGAGTGCCTGTTTTCCTGACTTGTGTTTCCATCCAGTGCTCAAACATGTGGTTCAGGGCAGCAGAGTATTTCTACAAAGAGCCAGAGAGTGCATTCTTAGACATTGCCAGCCACAGCATCTGTATCGCAACCTCTCTGCTTTTATGGTGCAAAAGCAGGCCGGAACAGTGTGCCGCTCAGTGGGCGTGGCTCTTTTCCAGTAGAACTTTCTATCTACAGAAAAGATGCAAGCTGTAGCTCACTGCCACCTGTGTGAATCCTTCTGTCATCTGCCCCACCTCCCCCAGTGGTATGGAAGGGGTGGGGCGCTCCTGAGGCTGCCCTGGGATCGGATAGCCTCCTTGCTCAGTGCGCAGAGCAGCATGAACCATAAAGCACAGAGCTACCTGCTTTTAGGCTGGTATCCCTTAGGCTGGGCTTCCCAGAAGCAACAGACTACTTTCCCCCAAATTCCCATCTGCCTCCAAAAGGAAATTTTAAAATATCTCTGAAGAAGGTGTTATGGCTTGGATTTGGATGTTCCCCCAGCAAAAGTCTCATCAAGTCATAAGTGGGGCTTGGAAGAGGTGGCTGGATCCAGGGTTTGTGATGCTGGGATCAAGGACACAACACCAGGATTAAGGGTGTGAGTGTCACCCATCCCAGGCCAGGGACAGAAGGGGTTGTTGCTTCCTACGGTCTACCTGCCCTGATCTGCTGTATTCTGTTACTCACCCCTTGGCCCTGCCACCCTGCCCTGGAGCCAGCCAGCTGTGAACTGAACCTTCCACAAACTGTAAACTGAAATAAATCTTAAATCCTTAAAAAAAAAAAAGAAAAAAAAGAAATGTCAAGGCTGGAGAGATACCTCAGCAGCCCAAGTGCCTGCCTGGGAAGCGCAAGGTCTAAAGTTTTCATTTTTAGAAAGATTTGAGTTACAAATTTAGTTTTGTTTACTAGGTAGATCGTAATGGCCACAGACTGTACCTGCGTTTTCCTCCTTGAGTGGTTGCGAGGACCAGATCAAGATGTTGCCCCTAAATTGTTCTTCATGTTTTTGCCCTTATCATTATGGTGTGGGCGTTTGCTCTCCTTTGTCATACCTGGAAGGTTCCTAACACACAGCTCGAGATCAATAAGTCAGAAAAATCATAGTGGCTTTCAAGGCAAAAATCTGTCCCATTATCTGTCATCAAGGTACCAAGGATGTCAGTGGCCAGTTTTTAAGTTTTTATTATTTTATTTAAAAAAAAATTAAAAATCTTTTTATGTATTTATTTATTTGGTACAGGTCTTGCTATGCAGCTTGGACTCATAGTGGTCCTCCTGTCCCAGCCTCCCCATTGTTGGGGTTACAGGCATGCACCACCATGTTCGGTTTTGGTGGCCAGCTCAGCATGCCTGGGGTTCTGGGGCTGGCATGGCATGCGGTACCAGGGATCCAGTCTGGGTCCTTGAGCTTGCCAGGCAGGTGGTTAGACTACTGCGCTATCGCCCCAGCCCTAGTATGTTATGTCTAAAAAGGTTATAGCACATTAATAATATAGAAAGATGAGGTTCATTTGGGAAATTAGTGCATTCATAAAACTTGCTTTTTTATTTATTTATTTATTTTTTTTCCAGAACCGGGGATTGAACTCAGGCCCTTGCGCTTGCCAGGGAAGCCTATATTCCACTGAGCCATCTCCCCGGCCCCTAGTGCATTCATTTGATCTTTCTTTCCTTTTTTTTTTTTTTTTGCAGTACTAGAGATTGAACTCAGGACCCTGCACTTGCCAGGCAGGTGCTTATTCTACTGAGCTATCTCCCCAGCCCTAATAATTTTAATTTTTTTATAATTTTTATTTTTATTTATTTATTGCGGTACTGGGGATTAAATTCAAGACCTTACACTTCCCAGGCAGGCACTTAGGCCGCTGAGCTTTCTCTCCAGCCTTGACATTTTTGGCTGGCTCCAAGGCAGGGTGGCAGGGCCAAGGGGTACTGCAGAGGAGCAACAGAATACAGCAGAACAGGGCCGGTAGATGGTAGGAAGCAACAACCCTTCTGTCCCTGGTCCGGGATGGGCGGCACTCACACCCTTAATCCTAGCATTGTGTCCTTGATCCCAGCATCACAAAAGCCCCACTTATGACTTGATGAGACTTTTGCAGGGAGAACATCCAAATCCAAGCCATAACACCTTCTTCATATATTTTTTAAAATTTCCTTTTGGAGGCATTTGGTCTAAAGTTTTCATTTTTAGAAAGATTTGAGTTACCAATTTAGTTTTGTTTACTAGGTCTGGGATTTTTTCAGGCTATTTCTTCTTGGGTTAATGTCTGTAGTTACTGGCTTTTATAGCATTAGTTTATTTGATCTGAGTAGACCACTTGAGATCTCTCGTGCTGTTGGCAATAATTATTAGCCCTTTTGATATCGATTGCATCTGTAATATCTTGGCCATCCGATCCAGTCTCAGGCTCACACCGAGTGTGTAATAATCAAAGGGAAGAGCTGCCGGTTTGAATCTTGCTCTTCTCCCTATGTGAGGCTAAGCATGTACTTTTGTCTTCCTGAGCCTCAGTTTTCTTTGTACAGTTGCAAGCGGGATGCCACCTTCTTCCAAGGCTTCCAGAGAAGGCGTAAAATGATGCACGTGTAGCTCCTTGCATAGCAGTCGCTCCCTGGAAGTGCTGAGTGCACTTTGGCTGTTGTTGGTATTATTGGGGAATAGCATGGATAGGAGTTGAGCTTCCGCGTTGATCTAGGGAGCTGTTTAAGGAGCTTGGTCAATGATAACACCTCCTTCCTTTTTTTTCTTATGTATTTGGTACAGGGTCTCACTACACAGCTTGGACTTGTAGTTGATCCTCCTGTTTTCAGCCTCCCCAGTGGAGGGATTGCAGGTGTGTAATTCCAGTGGAGGGATTACGGGTGTGCGCCACTACACCCAGACTCAGTGGTTCAGCATGCCCGGGGGCAGAGCCAGTGTGGTGTGCGGTGCCGGGGATAGAACCCGGTCCTTGTACTTGCCTAAGCAGGTGCTTATTCCGCTGAGCTATCGCTCCAGCCCAATGATAGCTTCTTCTAACTCACTGTTTCTGAAACTTTGTTCTTATGGATGGATGCTCAAGGTCCTCTTTTGTTTGTTTGTTTATGTGTTATCCATCCTTAAGACTTAGTGGAGGAAGTCCACTGTTCCTTAATTGTGCCGAGTTACTGGAGATCCCGTGGTGAATCAGACACAGCCCCTCCCTCAAGGTGCTTATAATTGAGCTTGAAACAGACAGGGAGCACAAGACAATTAGCAGACCCAGTTTTCATGACACAGTCATCATCTTGGAAAGACAGGGGACAGTGAATGAGCCAAAGAGGGACCCTACCACTTTGCATGGCAGGAGGACCCAAACTGGCCTTTTCTTCTCTCCCCTTTTAGAGAAATGGCGTCAGCATGAGCTACCTTTAGAGGTCTCTGCAGCAACCCAGTGTTTGCCCTGCGCTCGAAGGAGACAAAAAGAATTGAGCTTTGGCGAGCTGCTGTGCAGAGCTTAGTCCTCCAGGGTGATCTTGCAGGCTGATGACAACCAAAATGATTCTGCCCTTTTGGGCAGTGTGGCTGGAGGAGGTTGTCTTTTCAGCACTAAATACATGCCAAGCGGAAAGTGAAAAATTGACAAGGTTTTACAGAGTCAGGCGTAAAAGAATGCAGAAGGATCTTTTAAAATATGACAGCTGCCTTAAGGTTGCTGGAGCCATTGGCACAGTTACAGATTTAATTGCCCCTTGAACATTAAAGACGTAATAGCACCTTTCTGTGCTAGCAGGGCTCAGGGGACGCATACCACCATTGATCACATGGGCTATAGAATTGTGCTTGTGAGAAGCACTAAGCAGAATATTAAAAGACAGTCCGATCACTTGAGCCATGCGAGGTAATTATTTAAAGTCATCTTCAGTGGCAGGATGACTGCTGTGGCCTGCCTGTCATCCTCTACCTGGACCTGACTGTCACCCCTCCGGGCGGTGGGGCATTGCTGCCAGGCACTAAATCCTGTCTTAGGCAGCGAGGAGCTGCCCAAGAGAAAGACGGGGACTTCAGGAGCATTCCTGTTTCTAATTCCAACCAGGCCCAAGCAGTTTTTTTTCTCAAGCTGCAGAAACATATTTCCTATTTCGAAGGCTCTCCAACTCAGATCTAGCTTTTCATGACATGTCTTCAAACCTTGCTATAAGCCTGGTCCTTGGCTGTTTGTTCCTAGGTTTGAAGTCTTGCCCTGAACAAAGGAATCCTGTGCCCGGCCGCTTGATCCTGGGACTTGGGTCCTGTGGGTACATAGCGCAGTGGTTTGAGACTTCTTAGAAGCTGCTGCTGTAGTCATGCTCTTGGGTGGGGTTTCCCGCCCCAGATGAAGCCAGCTGTAAACTCTCCCCTCTTCCTCCCATCTGCTCTGCCTCCTTGGCTCAGCTCAGCGCTTCCCTCTGGGTGGCTTCCTCTGGGGCCCTGATGGCCCTGAGGCATCCCAGGCTGTGCCACCCAGGCAAGCTGAGCCACTGCCCATGTGAAGCCAGAGAGCCACTCCTGGTCCCCAGCAGTGCGTCTTAGGGTTCTCAGGTGCCCAGTCAGCAGCTTCTCCGCAAGACCTCTGACTAGCTCATTGCTGAGCCCTGCTCTGGCACCCCAG